AAAGCAGGATGGTAGTTCACCCTTTTTTTTTACTAAACAGTATTGGCACATAGTTAGAAATTCCTGTGATTGAATTCTGCCACAAAGCTTTTACAATCCCAAATCCCTACAAATGGTATTAATGAACTTACTTGTGTCTTATTCCTAAGATTGACAATGCCACGACCTAAAGAATTTAGACCTAATAGGGCTTTGTAACAAAAATTACAAAATTATTACTAAAATCTTGGTTAACACGACTTAAACATCTTCTCCCCACCATCATCAGCTACCCAAATCTCTATTTCTTAAAAATAGAAGAGCCAGTGATAATGCTATTGTTATCCAAGAAATCATTAACACATGTTCTTTTCCCAAAAGCTCCAAAATATGACATCTGTTACAAATAGACCTTCAGAAAGCTTTTGATAAGTTGGAGTGGGATTTTATACACCAAAACGCCTGATCTATTTTCACTTTTCACCAAAAATTACAAGGTTCATAATGCATTGTATTTGCACTAGCAATATAGTTATTTTTTGGTAAATTGGTACCAAGACCAATTTCTTTGCTCCTAGTAGAGGCATCCGTCAAGGCGACCCTATGTCTTCCCTATATTTTATATTTCTTGTATGGAACTAATGTCTAGGCTTATTGACTACCAAGTAGGACACTCTTAGGTGGAGATCCCATAAGAATTAGTTCAAGGACCCTACTTTTCTCATCTTTTTCTTTGCCGACGATCGTACCTTAATGGGAAAAGCAAATAACAAAACTGGTAATTGTATTTACCAATGCCTTAACTTATTTATGGAAGAAACCGGGCTCTCTATTAACTACCAAAAGTCTAGAATTGTTTTTCAAAAAACTGCCCTCGAGACATTATTTAATCATCTGCTAATTTTTTAATATAAAGGCTAGTCTTGATTTTTGGAAAATACCTTGGGTTTCCCATCCTTAACCACAAGCCTAAGCCTAAGTATTTTCAGTTTATTATTGATAATATGCATGCTAGACTCTCCCTCTGGAAACCAACTTCCTCAACATTGTGGGTAGAACCACTTTAGCAACTTCTACTTTAAATACTATGCCCTCCCATTGTCATGCAGTACACTCTTCTTCCTAAAAAAGTTCTAAGCCAAATAGACAGAATTCAAAGAGACTTCATTGGGTAGTACAAACACTAAGAGGAAAATTCACCTAATTAATTGGAACTCAGTCACAAAGCACAAATCTGAAGGAGGATTAGGTATTCACTCTGCAAAGGACAAGAATTTGGTACTTCTTTAGTTAGCCTTAGTTGCGCTCTCATAAACTTCCCTCACCACCCTTGGGCTCAGCTCATTGCTAGTAAATACCGCCAACAAGAAAACACCTTTTACTTGTTCTTTCATCTGGGCAGCCATTAGGAAAAGTTACAACTTCTTTCTAGAGGCTTGTTTATCACCCTGACTATTAACTCTAATATGGACATTTGGTCTAATAGATGGATCCAAAATTCCACTACCTTAGGAACTATATTCAAGGTCCTCTTAGCAAGACTGACTTTCTATGTCTTTTAATAACATTATTAATCATAATCAGTGGATTTATCCAAGATTTCTTTTGACCTTCCTAACGAGCTTTTAATTAAAATCAGGCTACCCCGATCCCTGCAAGGTCCATGACTAAAAATCTTATAACCGGGGACTCAAATAGCAATGGTATCTTCTCTACGAAATCTTGTTACAATCTTCTAGAAGATAATCATACTCCTAATCCTGATAGAAATACTGACTTCAAATGGATTTGGGACCTTCATTACCCTACAAAAATAAAATTCTTCATTTGCAATGCATGCACAAACAAAATCCATGCAGAGCTTACCTTGCACATATTGGCATCAATATTGACTCCCTATCTGCCCTATGTGCAAAGCAAGGAACGGAGGATGCCACTCACATCTTCCTTCTTATGCCCAATAGCAAATCGCTTTTGGTCTAGCATGGGCCTTTCCATTAACTATAATAGGAGTGAGCACAACTGGTTAACGCATCTAAGACACGTTTAAAAGTGTTTGCCTTAACTACCAATTTCCCCTGGATGAGTATCCTCCTTTTTTCGAATTTGGAACCTGTGAAAAAATAAGACACATAAATATCAACAATCTCAACCTTGATATAAAACCCTAGACAGGTCCTTAGCCAAATAGTGGCGAATACATTTTCTTCACTGAAAAAACCCCTATACTTAAAAGTTCCTCCCCATGACATCATCTGGGATAGGCCCCCTAAATTACTATAAACTGAATATAATGAGCTTTCTCGAAACATAATCTTCATGCAGGTTTAGTGGAGTTTTCAGAAACAGTACGGCAAATGGATCATGGGCGTTACCAAGTCATGCTATGTCACAGCCCCATGCAGGCTGAACTCCTAGCACTGCAGAAGGCCTACAACTAGCAAAAGGAATTGCCATTTGCAAACCTCAAAATCGAAAACAGACTCAACAAAAGCGTTGAGAATGCTAGATGAAGCTTGTAGCACTACTAATCCATGCTTACTCACTTGCAGATCCTTAATGCAACAGTTGAAGTCCCTGGTGATCAGACACAACTTTAGGGAAGGAAATGCAGTAGCAGACTGCCTAGCAAGGGTAAGCTATTAGGATTTTCAAGCAGACTATGTTATCGACTTGCACGTCCACCTACTATTTTGTTGAATCTTTTTGAAAAGGGATATGCAAGTGTTTGTTTGGGCCGTTAAAAACTAAATTCTACTACTTGTAATAGCCTAGTATCTCTTAACACAGTAATGTCCTTAGGGAACAATGTTAACTCCTATGTAAGCTTTTATATATATATATATATATATAATATATATATTATATAATATATATATATATATAGTATATATATATATTATATATACTTATAGTATATATAGTATATAATATATATATATATATGCTTCCTTTGTTAAAAAAAAAAAAAAGAATAGCAAGTTAGGAGGAACTTTTTTTTTTTTTTTTTTTTTAAAAAAAAAAGAGGTATTTGCAGCAAGCCAAAAGAGCAAATAAATGTAACAATGTGTATTTGCAGCAAGCAAAAAGAGCAAAATACACAGAAAAATATGAAGTAAAATAATTACTAAAAAGAAAATATGAAGTAAAAACATGTATTTCTGTCAAACCAAAAAGTGCAAAACTACAGCAAAATACACGTTCCATGCGAGATTCAAACTCCTGGGAGGAATTCTTTGCACATTGCCAGTGGCACCTTGCACTGCTTTGTCACTGAGGGTGCCACATTTAATATATATAGGTCTTCTTATATGTTTATATACGTTTATATGTATATACGTATATAAGCATTTCCTCAATTGAAGCTTGCGGGTGGCGTGCCGTCCCCACCCAATAACATAGATCCGCCCTTGCATGGTGAGATTTTCTTAAACAACGTCAAATGACCTTTTTAAAAGCTTTCTTGACGTGCAAGGCTCATGTTCGAAATCTTGGGAAGTTCATCCTATTATATATTTACTTATACGGTGTAACTATGTAATTTATCTATCGAAGATGTTTTTTTAATTTGTTTTGTTTTCTTATTCTAATTGGTGTAATTCCTTTACTCTGTGTAAATTTATTTCGCATAGAGAGTGTGATCCTCTAAGTGAAAAATATTATTAATTTTAGATGTGCAAATTTATTTTAAATATATAGGAAATGATGTAATTCCCCTAGAGGAACTGTTATTTTGTCTGTTGTGGTCAATAATAAAGGGGTAATTCCTAGTTGAATATATCAATTACATTTGTTTTTGTGTAAGATATGTAATTTTCTTATTTGCAAATCAAAAATCTATTAAGTTGACCAAGTAAACTCGAAAGAGAGCGAATTGAACCGAATATACATTCCTGACAAACTCTATAATCAATAGAAAGTGTACAATAAGGAACCATTTGATTCAAGGGATTATGTGAGTTAACTTGGTATAAATTTTGTTATTACATTTATGCCACATTTGGTTGGAGGTATTAACTAAAATCGGCATTATATTTATACTAAAATTTTGGTATAACTTATCCCATATAAACGATGGGATAAGATTCAGATCATAGTCTTGATTTTAATCCCAAGATTATAATTATGAGGTAGATATCCTGATTTTGAGCCAAAAGACCCCTAAAGGAAATGTGATACCCGTCACCTTTAAATTCTAGATCGGCCTTGTAGGGAAGAAATGGTAATACTTATGTATTTCTGCTAAATAATAGAAAAAGAAAAAAAGAACATGGCATAGATCGTGCATGCTGTACATTTGTAATTAGATTTGCTCAATGTATGATGAATTATACAAGAACTAAAAATCAAAAGCGCTCCCTGCATTTGTATTTGATATTATTCTTCATAAAGAAATAAAAGAAGGTTATTCATTTGAATTTCTTTGTTATTCGTACAAAGTATGATAGACAAGAAAATACAGAGCAAATAATGAAATTAAAGGGAATCAGAAATGCATAATAAAGATGTTTAGGAGACTTGTTTGCAATTGGGAACTAGTTTACTAATTTTTACTCAGGAAACAGACAACGGAAAATATTTAAGTTCCAAACTTCTTGTCTGCAGTCACAACAATACCAACAATCACTGCAATCATAATCAGTAGGACTATGAGGACCACATGCGGTCCCACAAGTAATTATATCATTAAGTTGAGGAAGTAATTTCCTTTTGAGTCCTGATAGAGTGTGATCAACATTCCTTTCAGCCATAACACATCACATCCACTGAAAAATTCATCGTCACACAATTACAAAATCAACTTCTGACTGGTATAATATATAAATAACACAAATTCAATCAACGCGTATAGAAATATGCACATACACATACTATTGAAATATGTACATAGTTACATGTGTAACTACATATATATTAAGAAGCACAATAAGAATATTAACAATATAAAGATAAAGAGAGATGAGTACTAACTAGTGACTGCCATGAGAAGAGTAGTGAAGACCAAAGCAAACTTAAGCGGTGCGGTGCCATATTTGAGATAATACTTCAAGCTTTATGAAACTTTTGTTTGAGAATCTGGTTGATTTCCAAGTGTCATTATTTATAGACCTCTTTGAATGAATTGGCAGCACTCTGGCATGGACTAATAGAAAATATGGTTAACGTACCTTTACTAAAATTCATCTTGGAAAATTAACCATTTAAAATTAGTATAACCAAATTCAGAAGAAATGGTCATGTGCTATGTGCAGTAGAGCATGAGCTTTGTGCTATTAACGCTATGGACATGCCGCATTTGATGCCACCACCACTATACCAAATGCTAGGTGTTGACCTCGACTCGCACCTTCTTAAGAATTCATTTTTTTTCCTTTTCTTTTCTATTTCTATTATATAGAAGAGCTCCAGTTTCGACGTGTCTGTTTTTCGTAATTAACATTCATTCTGAGGGTAGTTTAGTCAATTCAGCTCTTAGGTTTTGCAGCTGCTCTTACGTGTCTAAACATTGTACCCACTACCACTACGTGGCCTTTACACAGGCTTGCTTTTTATTTTCTTTTCGATTTTCCTTCGTCTTTTTCTCTTTTGTACTTGGCGTCTCTTTGCTTTTCTCTCTACGCTTGTGTTCATTTGACAAAATGTTTTCTATTTTTTCGGTTTCTTATAGAGAAAGTGATCACTCCCTTCTTCATTTTATTTTATATAATAGCTCACAACTCGGTGGATATATTAATTTTTCAATTTGGACTCATTTCTTGCTGAGTTTTATACATGCATTTAGTAATTTCATTCATCTGCACATGTCTGTTTAGTGGCCTAAGATAGTACTTTGAGGGTGAAACGGGTGGATATTGATTGATTAATTTCGTGGTTGATCTAATTTTTCTGATCCAAAGTTCCTTTTGTTAATTGTTGAATAATCCCTTTCTGAAGTCAAGTTTGAGCTTGGTTTTAAAATTTAGCTGGCATTTTTCTTGCATAAATGATAATTTGTTTCAGTTTTCACTCAGCGATGTGGTACTAATCTGTTCCTGCGTCTGTTGTTTCATCGTTTCGGACTTCGGTAAGTGCTGGTCTTCTATCTCCGTAGCTGCTTGCTCATAAATGATCCTTCAATTATCTATTTTTCATCTATAAGCCTAAGAAAAAATAATGATTGAGTGCATTTATACTCTTTTTTGTATTACTTGCCTTTTCTGTCCTAATCAGCTAAAAAAGTTGTTATTTATCTTCAATGTCAATTACAATTGTCCAGAAAAAATGTAGTAATTGATTTAATTGTTGGAAAAGTGTTGACGTGATTGTAAATGGGAATTTAGTTATATTATTGGCTAATGTAACATCTGAAAAGATGTACATGGTGACTACACGTTAAGATTCTTTTTGATAAGTTATTGACTGCACATTAAGATTCTTGAAGCTCAAAGCAAAAAAGAACTTACCAGTTTGTTATTTTTAAGATCCGTCGTCATTTTTTCCTTCAAATTTTGTCTTTCTTATTTTGTCTTAGTGAGCAAGAAGCAACAAATACTATTTCTTATTAACTCATCTGATTTAAGGAAAGGTAATCCAAGGTAAAAGGATTCTTAAATTCCTATAAATTCTATTTACAAGGTCAAAATATTGATAGATCGTTTCTTATGAGCTTCTAAATTAAACATGCAAAGGGGGTGATTATTTTGATGCAAATTTCTTTTTTGATATTATTGTCTATAATTTCCTCCCAATTCTACTAATAAGATCAGTATAATAGAATGCAAGGTCCACTTCAAATCACTTTGGAAGCCCGATTTTAGACCCAACCATGGAGCTACGAGGTCCTTCTGGTGTGGCGATTGCTTATACAACTTTAACTAGAAGGCTTATTAGAAATTCTACGAGGTAAGGTTCAGAGCTTTTTCTAAATATGGAACAAGTAGAGATAAGAGTGGATAAATGTTACCATTCTTTAAAAAAAAAAAAAAGAGATAAGAGTGGATGAAGTAACATAGCATTACACTGCCAGATAAAGCTTTGGCGGCAAGACAGGCACATGTAAGAGTGAAAAATGTAAGAAAATATGAATAAATACTCTTTTTTTGCAGTTTATTTCTTGAGTTTAGAACATGATCAGAATTCATATTCCTACCGGGACTTCTTTTGTTATTCTTGGTATAATCAATGATAAAAAGCAAAGCCAAAAAAGTCCTACTGATCTTTTGGATTGTGGTAAATATAACTTCTATAAGTTTGTTTCATGTGTTAAAATGTGGGTAACTGAGGTAGAAGATCAAATTCTCCAATATTTACAGTTAGTGGCTTAAAACTACTACAATCTTTTAGAAAACTGAAAGTCGTAAAGAAATGAAAGGGTAACACCTTACTGTTAAGTGATGCTGATGCTTTTGACTATTATGGTTTCCTTCATTGTAGTTCTGGACTATTTTTTTTTCCTGTCATTTGGATGACTATTTGATGAATTGGGCAGTTCTTTTGGTCCTTCGTTGCACTTCTTAGGGGCTTCCATGAAATGTGGAATGAATTTATGTTGACTCCTAATACTATACAAGTTATGCCATGAATTATTATTTGGGTGTGATTTTACAAATAAGTCTAATATTGGAATTGAGGTTGTGTGCTTTAATAGGGTCTTTTCCATGCTTGAACTTAATCTTGTTTTCGTCGCAGTTATGATCTTGTAAAGCATACTTAACTCCACCTGACATTGCTGTAATAGACATCATGGTTTTAGCTTTTGCTGCCAATTTTTATATGTCACCGTAATATTTTATGATGGTAACCTTTGATGAAAAACAGTTTGGGCAGATCCTAGAGGGACTTTCCTCTCTCACTCTTTCCCTTACTGATTTTAGAAATTTTTCTTACACTATCAATGAAGGGCGCAAAGATAATGGTTTTAGTTTTTCCCGTTGTCGAAAATAAGGTACAAATAAACATTTGATGAGAATTTTCTTATTCACCCCATAGTTCAGGAAAATGATTGGTATGCCATTTCACTCTAATGTGTAAGATGATAATTGTTTAGGTTTGCTCATTATTTTCTTCTCAACGCATGCTTTAGAATAGTTCACGTAACCTGATAAATATTCAGCAACATAGATGTAATTCCTTTGTAGTATTCACAATCCAAGCTTGTAAAACCAAGATTAAAGCAATACAACATAATGCATTTAAATTTTTCAACATATTTTTTTTTCTTATGGCTAAGAAAAACATCCAAAAGACGGGGACTGGGCATACTAATAACTAAAAGATAAACACATGTAAGAGAGACAGATGAGACATAACAACCTAGCTTCCTTAATTTTGTTTCTGTTGTAGCTTAAGCAATGGATTCTATTCATTGGACCACTAGGTTTCTGATATCTTCTTGATTACAACATCATGCTAATGTCCATATTCAAAGGAGACTATATTTCTTAGTATTTAAGGCCTCGATACGATCTACAAAGCTCTATGGGTGGTGCATAGCCTCAATTTTGACTATGGGCGCACAATAATGTTGGAAGCTTGACATATTTTAAGACTTATGCATTGATATATTGAGCACTTGAGACATCACTCCTAGCTAGAGCTTAGGTGCGTGTGACTTGGTTCGAGTGATGAGTTGAACAAGAAGCCCACACTTGTGGGAATGAGTTCAGACCGAAGGACATGGGCGTGTAGCGTGACAAAAATAAGATACCTCGAACTAATTAGGACGAGCTAGTGAAGGAGCAATGAAGCTGATTATTTCTATTTTGTTATGCAGGCTAGCTTACCTCCCAAGTCTCTAAGTGAGCAAGAAGATGCCCGGCTAGAAAGAAATCTTTCGAATCAAGTATATGGTATTTAACTTGCTATATTTTGATCTCAATTAATTTATTTATATTTTACCATGAGGAGTGTTGTGACACTCTATTTTCAAGTTCTAATGTGATGCTTTTACTTGAGGCACAACGGTTATGAAGAAAAAAATATTTCTGTCAAGTGCATGGATCAGCTACATACATTTCTCTCGTGCAAATTTAGTAAATTCTTGTGGACTGCTTTTTCAAAGGAAATATTTCATCTCTCATGTAGATATATGTCAGGAAAGATAGGAAAGATAGGTTAAATGGGGAAGAGGAGATAGAGGTGCATTTGGTCAATGAATGTTACAAAGTTCTGATAAGCTGGATAACAATGTTGAAGCATGTCTTCACAGGATAATCTTGGGGGGTATGTAACAGATACTACATGTGTTAGGTAGAAGCTGAGGCACTCTCTAATGGCAATCAATATGTTAAATAAGTTCATTATACTCATGTGCAGGTTGGAGCTCTTGAAAGGATATATCGTGAGTGTCTCAAACCCAGTTCAGTGCATCGCCAACACATGTTATGTTCTCTTTGGTATATGAGTAGAAGGTATTGCCTAATTACTGAAATTTTATGTTTTTATAACTCGCTTAGAATGGATAAAGGGTTCCAATTAATTTGGATTTAAGACAGTATTTAATTGATTGATCTTCCTTTTCTTGAGTTTAGTTGAATCCGAGTATTTTGGAATTAAGGTGTGAATGGGAAGCTCACAGAAATGAACAAGGTATTAAAATAGCTACTTCAGAAGACTAACTCAGATGTTAGATTTTTCGTCCAATTGCAATCTGTCAAACAACTATTATTCTACTTTACACCCTCTTATGCTATCTTGCTCTATTGGCATTCAAGAAGTAGTGCGACTCTTACTATTTTTCTTCCAATGTGAAAAAATAAAAAAAATATACAAATAATTTTGGCGCTCTTCTAAATTCCATTTCCTTTAATTGATTGGTGTTACTTGCTTGTGCTCCAAACTCTCCTCATTTTGTGTTTTTGGAATGGCAAAGGATGGCTTGGGCTGATGATTACAGCCCTTCTAAAAGATAAATTCAGATGTGCTTCTGATGTATTCACAAATGCAAATGTTTTTTTTTGCGTATTATGCTCTATGATATAATGCCCTTTTGCACATCTATAGCAGATAAAACTATCCTATTATACATGTATATAGAAGCGTTTCACTTATGTTTACCCGTTTGGCACGTGTACAGAAAATTGTCATGTATGTCATGTTCTGCCCTTAGTTGCTTTAATGTTTTCTTTGTATTTACACGTCAAAGCAAATAAAATTATAATTAATCAATCCAGCTTTTATAATATTGGGCCCATGATGGGCCATCACAACCTAGTACATCTTAAAAAACCTTGCATTCAATAATTAGAATAAGATGTAAGTAGCTTTGACGGGGAAGTAATATAATGTATAGTAGTAGATTGTGCTCCCCAATGGGCTATTGTTGCTCTCAAACGCACACGCAAGTATACGTGGTCGATAAGTAATATAGGATTGTAAGTCCAGATATCGTACCCACAGGGATTTGTGATTAACTATCAATTAAATTAAACCAAACAATTAATCTATTCAAGCGAATTCTAATGTATGAATATTTAACTAAAACTAATCTAGAGTAACAAACTAAGAGATTAAAGAAAACAAGTTGGCGAATTATAGAGACGAATTCAATGTGAGTGAATGTGAGTGAATATTCTAGAGTTATGGGCTAGCTAACAATCCCGTTGAGGTTTTCACCTAAATTGTCTAATTATCGTCTAATTAATTTATTTAGTTTATTGATTGACGGGGTTAATATTGCTCGTAGCCTTCTCCCGAAGTACAACTCGCCTATTCAAGCTATATATTCCTATGGAATTAGAACTAACAAGAACGCATTTATAATTTCCGTATAATAACCAAGCAAGGCGATTAGGTATATTCCTATCCTAACTGCCCCCCTCCCCCCTCAAGAGTTAAGATCTTGCTCAACTTAATCTTATATGCAATCTAGAATTCCCTCTCCCGAGTTCAATCCTAAATCTGTAAATAGTATTCAATTGGTGATCAAGCAATCAAATAATTAAGCGCAAGATTGAATAAATAAATCAATATGATAAAATTATAAGAACAATTCAAGCTTCAAACCACAACGTTCATGTAGCGCCCAAAACTCTAGAACTAATAAACTATGAGATTAAAGGAAGAGAATAGAAGAAAAACAAGTTAGACGCCTCCTCCAAGCGTGGTGTGTGTTCCCCACGTGAATTCTCCTTCAAAGCGTCCTCCCCTCAAAAAATATGTTTAGTCTTGCTTTTATACGTGTTGGGTAGGTCTAGGGCCGAAATAACCTTGTCCCGGGCAAAGTTGGACAAAATTTCCGTCACTGGCGCCCTGGCTAGTGCCAGGCGCCCTCCACGGCGCCCCACAATTTTGAGCTACTGTTTTTGGCGCCACAAGTAGGCTGGTGGCGCCCAAATTCGCACCTTACCCAGTTTCGTTCGTTTTGGCTCAAATCTCGCGCGTTTCGCCCCCCAATTGCTCCCGAATTATTCCTACACATAAAAATACTTCAAATTAATATAAATCATAGCATTTAACATCCCAAATTCACGAAACAAAAGTAAAATATGAGGCGATATACATAAAAATATATATGCTTTAAGCTAAACATCAACACCCCACACTTAGACTCTTGCTCGTCCTCGAGCAATGGACTATCTAATAAACCCCCAACTACATACAAGTCTCAATTATAGAGGATCACCTTAACTTTTAACCACACACTATACCCTTGACTATGATCAATACCGGCACACAAGCATGAATACACAAAATTTCACATTCTTCCCGTTTAGCCTGCCTAAGTATAACCTTTCAATTCAATCAATTCCAACAATCTATTTGTCATCACCCAACCTCAAGAGCCGACTTGCAACCACTAAGCACCCTCAACTCATGCACTTACCCAACAAGAAAGTTTACAACATCACCAATCATTCATCAGATCATGTGCCCAAGTTTACAACATCACCAATCATTCATGAGATCATGTGCCCTCACCAACAAACAAAAGAGTGAATATAGATTAGTCCACACATTCAAATATGCTTTTGAATATAGATTAAGGACATCACACAATTGAACAAAATTCGCTCACTCTCACAAAGAATTCATATGCATCCCGTGGCCGTACCATAAGCTTGCCCGTAGTGTATATCTATACTAATTTAAGCTAGCCAAATCTAGGATCAATTAGGACTTTTAGGTTGTAATGTAGGCTAAGGGACGGGTAGGATATATTTAGGAATAGTGACTAACCCTCCTAAGCTTTAATACACTACACTCACAACTCCAACACATATTCTTCTTAACCAATTCACTTGCCACAAACCATATGCACATAGCCCTTACGTTCATTCAAGCACTTCTATACTCCCACTACACAAATTATTAAGAATTGGAGGTGTTTTCTACATACTTTCACTATTATTTTTTTTCTTTTCTTTCAAATTTTTTTCCCAAACATTCCTTACATTAAGGTCCATTGGCTAGTGTCTTTCGATTTCAACTTTAGTGCACCAACGAGCCCTTCCATGGTTCCCCTCAAAAGCTACTTCCCAATCTCTAACCTTACTTCTTTTAGCGACTAAGTGCCATATGAGGTAAAGGTTCAATCAACATCAAACTAAGAACAAAATAGGGGTATGGCTTGTAATGTGGGTGCCAAAGAAAAGGTCTATCGGCTCAAAGGGGCTAGCAACGGAAAATTTTATTTTCTTATGTGACAAGCACATCCATGATCAAGAAGGAAAATGCCTACGTCATCTCCTAGATTAGCACAACTTACAATTTCGCTTCAATTAACACAGGGGCAAGTTCTAGACTACACAGGATAGCACAGAAAATTACAAAACCTCACACACATGTCGCACATGACTCAATCGAGACGGTTCTATTCAACTCACAAGTCAAGTAAGCATACATAATTAATAAATTTAAGAAATATTGCACTATGTGGCATACGAGTCAAACAATTGAGAGAGAGCGTCACAAAATAGGCTATTCACTTTACTTAGGCTTCACAATTCAAACCAAATATACGGGAAAAACAGAATGTATGTCCTAGCCTAATGTGCCTGCATCAGCCATGTCAATGAGTACTCGGAGTGACTCAGTTTCTTCCTAAACTAATCTTAAAAAAAAAAATAAAGTGCCCGGTTCAAGCTACATCCTTGGAAAAGAACCGGCGCCCAAAGAAAAACCAAGGAAGGGATACTACCTAACTATTCTAAAAAAAAAGTTCTTTTTTGTATTTTTAATCGGACTTTTATCCCTCAAGAAAATTGTCCAAAAGATCCATCGTCGGGAAAAGTCCGAACTTTTTCTAAATTTTTTTTTGTTTTTAACAAAAACTACTACACTAAGAACGAGTACTACAACTAAACTAAGATAGCATCGAAAATCTTCGCCCAAACAATCTCCTCACCCCACACTTAAAATTGTGCAATGTCCTCAATGCACACTGAAAATAACAAGAGGGTAAAAGAGACTCCCTGGTAGGCCAAAGGCCGAAGAATTAGCAGCTCACGGGATACTCAGACTTCTCCCAGGTATGATCCCTTGTGTGGGTACCTCACACTTAGTTTCAACCACCTGCTCGCTTTTGCACATGCCTATTGGCTTTGACTCCATGCTCGTACTCCTACAACACTACAAAAAATAACACAATAAAAAATAAGCAAAAGTAAAAAATAAAAAAAATAAAAAAATTGGGTTGTCTCCCAACAAGCGCTTGATTTAACGTCGCGGCACGACGCCATCACTTTCACCACTTATCCTTCCACTTTGAGGATGTGAATTGCGCCCCCAATTTGTCATCAACTTTTCTGTCACGTTCATGGGGCGGTGGTGTAAAAATAAAGGAACCAAGCAATAGATTTCGCGTCTTGCACTTTTTGGCCCTTAAGTGAGGAATGTCGTTTTGTCTCCTTGACATATTTCAGAATATAAGCACTTTGTTCCTCATCCATTGACTCCTTCATATGCTCGACTGGATCAATTCTCATGTCACCAACCAAACACAATATTGAAAAATGTTTAGAATGAGGTCCAATACGCTCCAACTCCAAAATTACATTATTTTTGGCATCCTCAATTTTGAGCTCTTCGTCAACCTTGGCATCATTAATAATATTTTGGTCGAATAGTTGGAATTCCTCTTTCCGCTCCATAAGTTGACCAGTATCCACAACAATTGGTTGTAGGGCATCAGACGCCTCAACTTTTTTATTCAATTGATCGTGCAGGTCATGAATATCTAAGCCAAATTGGTCTATCTCTTGCCTGAGCTCAGTTTTTTCCTTCTATTAGTTGTTGTGTCAAATTTGAAAGACCATCACGTAGAAAGTCATGAGATTTTATCTAGCTTGTTCTTCAAGCCAAGATTGGCTCATTATATCTGCTTCTTCAAAATAATCTTCTTGTGGGAACTCGCTCTCTTCATCGAATTGAGGTTCTTCTTGGAAATTGGCCATTAATTCGTCCATTCTAGTCTGGAGTCTTTTGATCGTTAAGGCATCAAGACTTTGTTGCTCGACTATTTGCCTCATCATGTTCTGTTGCTCGGCTATTTGCCTTATCATGTCCATAATATGAGCCATGCTTTCTATATCTTCCATTTCATTGCTCCTATCAAACTCATAAACATTATTAGAAACATTATAATAAGAACTCTGAGAAGGATAATAAGAATTAGGACAACCATCCCAATGACCACCTTGACAATCACACACATTACAAAAATTCCACACATCAGATTGAGATGCACAATTTTGCCCAAAGTGTGGTCCTCCACAATATGGACATGGATCACCAAAATAAGAATAACTAATATTCGACCAATTATCATTCCAAGATGACATATCAATAAAGATAGTAAAATATTAAACTAAGATAAAAATAAAAAATAAAAACTTGAATGGGCAAAAAGTAAAAATCTAATCTAGTAGAATAGTTAATTTCTAAGTCCCCGGCAACGGCGCCAAAAACTTGTTGCTCTCAAACGCACACGCAAGTATACGTGATCGACAAGTAATATATGATTGTAAGTCCAGATATCGTACCCACAGGGACTTGTGATTAACTATCAACTAAATTAAACCAAACAATTAATCTATTCAAGCGAATCCGAACGTATGAATATTTAACTAAAACTAATCTAGAGTAACAAACTAAGAGATTAAAAAAAACAA